GTTATTGGTATAACTACACTATTGTATAACTGCAAAAATGTCTCTTAAAAAAAACTTCTTGAAAATTGGGATTTTCTCAACAATTTTAGGGATTTTCTCTGCAACTTGCTTGTAAAATTCAGTTTTCAAAATCTGCAAATAAATTTTTGCAATGCATTCCAACAACAGAAAAAATTTTATAAAAAAGTTAGCAAGAAATAAAGAACAATCTAAAAAAATAACAAGCTTGTTTGGTTTAACACCCACAAATACTATTTTTTTTTTAATTTTTACCCTTTTTGGCTGAAAAGTAAAGTAACTTATATATCTTACTGCAAACTCTATTTCAAGTAGTACATGTGCTTAGTCAAAAAAAGATTGAGATGCCGCTTACATCAGATACTTTTTTTGATAAATTACGGATATTAACATAAGTCTTTAAGTTATTGTTATCTTTTTTTGTTTGGTATTTTATATCAACTGAATTATGTGATTGCATTGACTAAAATCAAAAAGGTAAATAAGTAAATATAAAGGTAAAATGTAAATTAAATACGTTTGGTAACAAAGTTTTTTTTTTATTACAACAAACAATACTAGAAATTTAAAAATCAAGAAATAAATTCACTGCTTGGTTAAATTTAAAAATGTGAAAATAAATTTAAATGTTTCAATGAACCATAGTCAAAATATTTTATGACCATAAATGAAAAAATAATTATTTGTAATTTTTATTGCCATGATAGCATGCAAGCCCTTGTGATCAATATCTTTTTGTAATTAAATGACAATTGCTGTTGTTTTTGCAAAGAATTTGTAATTTTAATTACAATATTTATTTTTATTTTATTTGGCATAGCGAAATAAAGTTACGTAACTATATTTCGTTATGCGACTTATATATAAAGAAAATTAATATTAATTATGAAAACAAACTCTATAAATTAACTCAACTCTATAAATGAACTCTAAAAATGAACTCAATAAATATAAAATATGAAATTTATGAGCTCCTGTTTAGTATTTTCAAACCTTTTCTGTTTTTATTTGTAAAACATTTCTTTTGAGAACACAATTTATTATATGATGGTGTAAGGGTTTGTCCATTAAAGATGCAGAGCAGAATTTAATAATTGGAAGTAGAAGAACATTAGCTCTCTTTTGCGGAGATTTTCATTAAACATGAATCACTATATTACTTTAAAAATCACCATTTAATGCCCACCATTAAAAATGAAAAAATATGGTATACAAAAGAATACTCTTAAAATGAAAGCGGTCATGGTATATTAAGATTAAAAGTAAATCAAATATATTATTCTTAATAACAATTAATATATACTGATTATTTTATAGTATAAAAATAAATAATTCTTAACATATATTTTGAAATCAGAGCTTAATTTGCAGTGTCATCATGATACTACGGCTAATTTTTTGTTGATTTCATATTTATCATGTGACACAGACTGTGTAAATTAAATCACAAAATCATTGTCTTACAGGGAAATGAAGAATTTTATGGTAAACCTAGGTAAAAAATACAAAATTCTTAACAAATATAATGTAATTTTAGGTAAAGCTACAGTTACAGCGCTCTAAAACAATTTTATTTTTTTACTTGTTGCGCTATCATTAGTGGAGAGTTTTTAAAAATTAAAAACTTTAATTGAAATAATAAAAGGAAAAAGGATATATTTTGACAAATTCCTTATTTCGTCAAAAGGCTGTATCAAATTCATTCCTGGTTAACACCCTGTACACACACACACACACACACACACACACACACACACACACACACACACACACACACACACACACACATATATATATATATAAATAATATATATATATAAATATATATATATATATATATATATATATATATATATATATATATATATCAGGCCTTGTGATGAATAAAAACTGCGTGACGCATAAGCACGACATGATTTTTGACGTCATTAAATTTTTTTTATTTGCTTTTCATATTTATCGACATTAACTGCACCAATTTACTTAATTACCGCAAAACTACTTTAAATCATTAATGTAGAAATGTTATTATTTAAAAATGTTTTGGAATGTTTCGTTTTTTGAAATGTAAAAACATTTGTTTATTTTCTCGACATTTGACAAGTTTTGTCTATACTAAACGAATAAAAAACATTATAACTAAACATTTAAAAAAATTATAAAATATGCTAATATTTGATTTTTTTTTTTTTTTTTCTCAAATATGTAATTTAAAGTTTTTCAAATAATAATTTTTTTTTTTTTTAAAAGTTAGCGAGTAATAAACTGGAAATTTTAATATTGTACGATTAAAAACTGTGCAATAGCTAATATTTTACTACCGATTTTATATAATATTTTTTTATTTTTATTTATTTTCATAAAGTGGTTGATAAGCACAATCACTCGTATTACTAAAAAACTTTAACAAACGTTTTGAATAGATTTTTAATGTTTACAAGGAATTTTATTTTTGGTAAAATAAAATAAAATAAAATGTTAGAATAAAAATCTTATAGGTATAAAAGACATATTTCAGCGAAAAAATTATTTGAAAAACTATTGACGTTCTATTTTTCAGCAGCTGATCTTGAGCACGCTTCGTTGAGTTTCGGTAACTTTTAACAAAAAAGTGACTGTTATTATTTAAGTAATTTTTTTCGAGTTACATTTTATAAAAATTTTAATAGCTGTACTTTTTTTTATTAAATCAAGTAGAATACGTTTTAATATTATTCCTTTTATTTTATTTTTATTTGCGCTTATCAATTTTAAAAATATTTCTTCGAAATTACTCTTAAATACTTTAAATACCTCTCACAGTTAATAAATATTTTTAAATCTATGGAATAATTTAAAACCTAACAAACCCCCATAAAATAATTATTTAAGTTAAATATCTGTAACTAAAAGAAAGTATTTTTGTTCAATTTTATCGACAACTTTGCTATTGCTGAATAATTTTATTAAAATGTTACCTTAAAAAGATTTAAACTTTTTTTTTTATCTGAATTTTTTCTACTTGTAAATAATGAGCATATCTAATTTTTTCAAACTTTTGTATCGACTGCATGCCGTTTTTAAAATACTTTATTAAATGTTAAAATAATTGCTCTGTTCTTTTACCAACATTGAGCACTCTTTTTGTAGAATACATTTTAAATTGTTTAAATTACTTCATTAAAATTCCACTCAAAAATATCTTTAAATATACTCAAACAAAAATTTTTTTGCTTGACGCAAATAGCCCTAGCTACACGCAAAATCGCTATTGGACGACGTAAAATTGAATACTTTTTATTTTTAAAAGATTGCTTATGATTGGAAAAACGTTTTTACCATTCACCTTCTGTTATGCCAATATATTTTATATATAATATATAATACCTGATAAACAATATATTGGCATAACAGAAAGTGAATGGAAAAAATGTTTTGCCAATCATAAGCAATCTTTTAAAAATAAAAAGTATTCAAAAGACACCATGCTGTCAAAATATATATGGGAATTAAAAGATAAAAATATTGATGATTTTACACTGAATTGGTCCATCCTTAAAACAGTGTCTGCATATAACAATATTTCCAAAAAATGCATACTATGTCTACAAGAAAAATTTGAAATAATTACACATACAAACCAAGAATGTTTATTAAACAAAAAATCGGAATTAATTTCTAAATGCAGGCACGAAAATAAGTTTCTCCTAAAAAACTATAAAAATAAGTGAGCTCAAGTAATAGTTACATTAACTCCCCTTTGAAAAAAATATATTATTTTTTAAAAAGCTTAAGTAATCATTTCTAAAGAATTCTTTTTACAATAGTGTCAGCAAATTACACAAATGTGTGAAAAATTGCAGTAGTTAAGAAATGTGACTTCCTAAAATTTTGGTATAAATTGAAGTTTTATTAATTTGATCATTCATTTCTGATGAGTCTTTATTGATGAAACACAGTGTTAAATAAGAAAAAATTTTGCTAAGTGATTTTCTACTAATTTATATATATATATATATATATATATATATATATATATATATATATATATATATATATATATATATATATATATATATATATATATATATATATATATATATATATATATATATATATATATATGCGGTGTTGAAGTAAAATTGAAAACAAAGCAAATAAAAGTTATTAACTAGTAAACTTATTTCTAAAAATGGAACTAAAATTAATATTTAAAAGAAACATTAACTTTGATAAACTTTAACCAGTTTTGTTTATTTTTAATACCTTTATTTTAAAAATAAGTATTTTAAATATAAAACAAATTAAATTATAAAATTTTTAAAATAAATATAAATATAATAAATTTATATATTAATTTATATCATTTAATATATAAATTAAATATTACCTTAAGTAATAGGTCAAAATATTTAAAAATAATAATAAAAGTAAAAGGTTGATATTAAAATTAAAAAAAAAAAGCACCAGCTTAAAGTGTTTTAAACTATGATTTGAATGTCTTAATTCATCTTTTTCTATTAAAAAAGTGTGTGACTCTTATGCTTCAAACAACTGAGCAAATATTTACTTGATTTTAAACCCAGGGGTACTGAGTCACAAAAACTTTTAAAAATTTTCAAAAAAATTGTTTGCTCTTCTAACCTGAAAATGTAAAAAAAAAAAAATTCTAAAAGTATTCCATAAGCCTTCGTACATTTTTGGAGCACATGGGTACCAAAAACAAAGAAATAATTATTCTGTGACTTTTCAAATCTCTTTTGGCACTCCGCATCTCTGCAGGGATGCAGGGATTATTTATATTTGTGAAAATTTATTTATAGAGTGACAACATTCTCTAGGATGACTCATAATAAATCTTACTTCTAGGAGTCAGATAAGAAATAAATATATAAAAAGGTTTGATTTTTATAGAACTTTTTTTTGCAACTATTTAAATCTATAATGACAAAGTAGCAATACCAAAATATATTTAATATATATAAACTAAATATTGTTTATACCTGGTGGCGGTATACCTTGTTGAAGCAAACCTGGTAGAGGTACACCATGCTGAGGAGGATAATTTCCACTAAACCCCTCCCTTTTTCTTAGATCATAATCCATCGGACCTTCAAACATTTCTCTCCTGCGCTGTTCATAATTTAAAGGTTCATTATTAAAAATTTCTCTTTTTCGCTCCTCATAGCTAACAAAAGTATTTACAGGCTGAAATTCATTTCTCTGATCTGGACCAAGCCCAAAAATTTCTCTTTTTCGCTTTTCGTATATTTCCTCAACACGTTCAGCAATTTTATTTGATGAATCTAGTAAATTATCTGCCCGCTGAAGTTTGGCAGGAGGAGGTCCTGGTTTTGAAATATTTTGTTTAGGAGAAAAGCTTAGAGATGGTGGAATATCATCTTTAGAAAAATCAACATTTTCATCATGCTTAGATTTAGGATAAACTCTTTTTGCGATGTTAGCACTTTGAATATCTGACACTATTGATCCCTAAAAATGAAAGCAAAACATCTCAGATTATGATAAGTATAAAAATATTATTTATAAAAATTACTAAAAAAAAATTTACCATTGCAAATGGAGGGAGTTCTGGCTTTTGAACATTTGTTTTAGATATTGGTCCTAAATCAAATAAAGCGGTTAAACAATTAATTTTTAAGTCACATTAAAACTTAAGAATTATATAAAAGTACTCTATATAAAACATATTGAAATAAACTATTTACAGTTTTATAACAGTTTTATATTAAGCAATCACAAATAAAATGGTCGAAACAGTAAAGTTTAATATTCTTATCTTAAAAAGTTTCACAGATTTTTTACAGTAAAAGATTTAAGGAGCAAAAAAATTCACAAATCATGTTAGATTATTTTTTCAATAAAAATATTTTGTTCTGAAAACCAATTAGCTATTTAATTTCAAAAAAAATAAAATAATAACAATAATAAAAAATAATTGTTCCTAATAGTTCTAGTTGAATTAGGACAGGTGAAAAAAAAAGATTATGATTAGAAATAGCCATTGAAACAAAAAAAGGAAACTATCAGGTAAAGCGAGAATTGACTTAAAACTGATGAAAAGGAATAAAAGTTTTTATGCTATTATTAGCTCAAAAGTTTTTATTCACAAATAGCAAGTAGGATTAGCAAATTTTGAATAAGCAATGAAAAGTTATTTTAAAGACCATGAATATTTGTAAAAGATTGATTTAGCTATTTAGTTGTTAAGAAGGTTTTTTTATGTTTAACATTTTTAGGTCATAAACTCATATTTTAACTTATTAGAAAACTTGACTCAGTAATATTTGTCAATAACTGTCATATGAAAGTGTCATTTTTAAACAACATCAACAAGGTGACTTATTTTACAAGCTTTTAACTGTTTGCTTATTTTAACTTCAAATTTCTACAGTATGACATTTGAAAATTAAAAAGGTAGGTAGAAAATTGTGAAGTAAAAGTGAAGAAGCATGTCAACTTTGAAATCAATACTAAAAATCAATCTTCAAGATCAAAGATCTTGTTACAAAATGACACAAGATTGTGAAATATGTGCATAAAAACTTGTATCATCAATTTTGGCCATACCAGCCTAATTGAAAAAATTGAAAGCCAACAACTGTTGACCTCCCACAAAGTTTTACTTCTTGCTTTAAAATGTTAACCATCAATTGCATTACTTAAATCATATGCAATACTATATATTCAGGGCTCGAATTAAGTGATCGCGAATTGCAATATCCAGAAATATATGTGGTCATTAAATTTTTAGTTTTTTTAAAAACTGTAAACACTGTTTTAATGAAACGGTCAGTTAATCATATTGCAAAAATGAATGAAAAAGAAAAACAAATAAATACTGCAAAAATAATAACAGTCAAAATTTACATATTATTAGTTATTGTTTTTTTAAACAATAATTAATAATATGTAATTTAAGGATTATAAATAAAAAATTATTATTACTAAAGGCAAGACAAAAATTATTATTACTAAAGGTCCGAAAAACTTTCGCGGTAATTTAAAAATAAACCAATAAAAAACTATGCTTAAGCTATTTGCGCATTGTATAAAACTTTCTATAAAAAAACAACCAATTAAAAAGTATGCTAAAGCTATTTGTGCATTATGTAAAACATTAAAATAGATTTTTATTTAGGGGGAAAGTTTATTGAATTATTTATTTAAAAATTTAAATGTTTTGAATTAGAATTTAAGTATTTAATAAAAAAAAAAAAATTGTAAATTATATATTTTTTAAATAAGTTGTTAGAGTTTTTTTTGTTTTTGTTTTGAAGTAACTATTAAAAAGTTTAAATTAGTTTTTATATATTAACTCCTCCGTCTTTTAGTTTTATATTTGTATCAGTTAAAGTGTTACATGCGTTAAATTTATAGGAAAATATTGAATGAGATTTAAATAAGTTATTTAAATAAGTATTTTATATCTTATTTAACAATTTCTTTTATCTAAAATATTCGATCACTGTTAAAGTCCTTTAGACTGTTGTGATTAGCGCTTATTTTTTAATATTTATATCATACTTTATCGTGCTTTATTTTTCTAGTTTTATCTGATGTTTTATAAAATTTATTAAAGTTTAAATTCAAACCTATAATAATAATAAAAATAATAGTGATAATATGGTTTTACATTAAGATTTTATATCATAATTGACGTAAATATTTTTTATTAAATGATATCTATTGAGTTTAGTGATCAAAACAGTTTTACAGTTTTTAAAAAGCTAAAATTTTAAAGACCGGAAACATTTCCAGATATCACAATTCGTGATCACTTAATTCGAACTTCATTTCACATTCAACAAACTCATCAACTTAATTTAATCAAACATAACAAGATGGTAAATGTATTTTAACAACATTCATGACTTAAAGTCTAAAATTTCTACCATAACATTGAAATGACTATCTTGTAAAATGGTGACATATGGTAAAGTTAGGCAACCTTGTTTTTGATTCTTTACCAAAGCATAAAGAAACAAAAAATCTAAACAAAAGTTCTTTATTCAAATCATAGTCTCAATGAAGTAGCTCTGAGTTCTTAAAAACAGCCTCTTCTAGCGGGTAATATATCTTAAACTTTTTAAAAGTACAACAAACATAATTTTACATAATTTTCAGGCTGTATATGAGCCTTGTTAGGCAGTATAATAATAGATTTCGACAGATATTTGTGTAAACATAAAAATGTAAACAATATAAACAAAACTATAAATAACAATGTAAACTAAAAACACTCCTGATTGAAACCAGATGTAAATAGAGAAAAAATTTAAAAAAAATTAAAAAAGAAAAAAGAACTGTTATTGTAAAAACAAAAATGTATTTTTTGATAGAAATGATAAAATGGACAAACTATAAATTACCTGTGACAATTATCAATGAACTTTATAAATCATTTAGTTTAGTGTTTAAAATTTTAACGACTTATTTGGAAAGGTTTAATAAATTTAGAATCATTAGTATTAATAAATTTTATAATAAAATAAATTTGAATTGATAAATGTGACATTGGAGAAAGATATTAAATTTGTAAAAATCATACTCACATAATCAAAAAGTTAGAACAAAAACTTAAGAAACATAATTTTGATTGTATTACTAATTTTATGTCATCTAGAAAATATAACAAGCATAAAAATTTGAATAAAATTTCTCAAGCATTGCCAACAATCTTGTGCAAAGGATAAAAATGACCTGATTGTTGTTTATATAAATAATTTAAATTGTTTTACTTGATTTTGAAAATTTATACTTTTAAAGCATTATTTAACAATTTAAATTGTTTTTAAATATCAGAAAAATTTAATGTAAAAAAAAAAAAAAAAATTATAATTGTTTTAAAAACAAAGTTTGAAAAGAAAGTTTATTTCCGCTAAATGTGTCCCACATAATAAAATGAATAAGGTATTTCAATATTAGCCTTTTTAAAATTATCACATAATAATCATTTTATTATTTAAAATGTCTTTAAAAAAAATTATTTAAAAAAAAACCCTTTAAACATTTTGTTATTAAAAAATAATAATTTTTATATAAAATGAATAATAGTTTTACAACTTTTACATAACTTTGCTTTTTTCTTTTAACATTAATTCACCTATCCAAGGTTGAGAAGGCCACTACAGACAAGGAGGTACTTATTTGCAGTTATAACCCACTCTAAACTCTATAACTCCAAAACACAAACCTTGACGAACAAGGCTGCTGAGCGGAAAAACAAATTGAGCGTAGTACTACCAGGGACGTGGTGATGGATTGAATTAGCAAATTCTTGCTTATGAAGCTAGCACTCTACAACTACACTATTAACCACACTACAACATTATTCAAGACCCAAGTTGACATAATTTAAAAGATAGTTTTTTTGTTGATAATGTTAAGGATCCAATAAATATTAAAAGGTTTTGAGTAAACTTTAATAACTTTTATTAGCTAATTTTTGAAATCCAATATCAATTTACCCATAAAAACATTTATTTAAAATGCTAGTTTAGACACCAATAATCTTTAAAAACAATTTAAATAAGAACTAATAACTATTGTTTAATCAATTATAAAGTCTGATATTTTCACATAAACATCTATTGCACGGTTAAAAATGCTGTTGAAAAATGTTATTACATGTGAATTAAAACATGATCATAAATAACTTTTTAATTTTATTGATTGTGTAGTTTACATTATCTGTACTTAGTTATTTATACTTGTTTGTATTGTTCATAAAAAACTGTATTCTTAATTTACTATTCTAAACAATACAGGCTCTAGGCTTGACTCGCCAATAAAAGGGCTTCCTACTCAATCGAAACTAGGTAAGAAGCAGGTACTTTTGAAACTAGGTAAGAAGCAGGTACTTTAGTATCTGTAACTATGAACAAGTTAGCAGTAGAACAAGTAGATTGCATATGAAATTTAATTCTTAACATTAAAAATGTTAAAAATTTACTAACAATAATAAGAAGAATGATTAGGTGATGGTTAGAGCAGTTTCTAGCGTTTTTGACCAAAGATGTAATTTTATAACAGGCAAAATAAAAAAGTGTGATTATCTTTTAAATAAAATTTAATTTTTTACATTTTACATTTTTGTTTTTACATTTAATATGCATATTCAAAATAAAAATCAACTTTTACGTTAAAAAAAAGAAGTAATTATGTAAAGTATTATGTACAGGGTGGCCACTCAAATTTGAAAACAAAACTCCATGACTTTTCATAAACTTTTATGACAAATCACTAGAGTGAAATATTCAGTACTTGTCATGCACTAAGCATTTGCAACTTGGTCATTATTAAACATGCAAACCAAAAACTAATTGGTAGAAAGTTCTGAAATCATGTCTAAAAAAAACTTTTTCTTTTACTTCTCTAATAACTTACACTGCAAAAATATCTTTTTCAAAAAGGACTTAGATTAGACATACTATAACTTTTCTTTGCATCCTAAAAATATCGCAAGTAAAAAAAAATTAAGTTAATTTTAAAAAGTTCCATGAATTTTCCATGACTTTCAAAGAAACTTTAGGAATTCCATGACTTTTTCCATGACCAAATAAAATTCCATAACATTTCAATGATTTCCATGACCAGTGGCCACCCTGTATGTATGTATGCAAAACAAAGTTTGTAAAAAGCAGTTTATCTGAACTTTATATTTTACATATTTTTACATATTTTGACCCTTTTCTAAAACTGCTTATAATGTTAAAAAAATTTTTCTTAGCTTTATATAGTTGTATCTTTTAAGCTTAAAAATATACTTTAACGAATGTTAAAATTTTATTATAAATTATGAATTCATTTAAAGAAAATCAACATTTAAAAAAATTATTTTACCCCTTAACAAAGGGGTAAAAAGGGTTTTTTTTCCCTTGTGCTCTAATTGCCATGATAATTGGCAATATATTACTATTTTGGTGAAATTTTAAGTATTGCTACAAAAGAAATATTAATGATAATATAATTATCTTTAAAAAGCTTCTTATCATAAAAGATCATTTTAACACTTGATTATTACGGTATTTTATTTATATGGTATTTTAATTTTTGTGAGATACTTACGGTAATTCATTATTGTGAGAAATGAAAAGCTGTACTTGATGAACTATATTCATCAAGTACAGCTTTTCATTTCTCACAATAATGAACAATATTCTCAGACACAACCAACCTTTGCAGTGTATTGTTTAGTTTTTATGTGCTGTTGAGGATGCTTGTTCTGAAGTAAGACCAAGCAAGATCTTCTGCTTATGGAGATACTCTTTAAGATCTAATATAACTATGTGAAATTTCAATCCAAGTGAAATTTCAATCCAAGTGAAATTGTTTTTGCGAATCCACGGACATATCGCTTTAAGCAAAGCATAGACTACTAATTGATTTTCTCTTTGAAAGATATAAAGTTTTATTGCAAAATAACATACAGCAACTAAATTGAACTAAAAATTAACTTGTTGAAATAAATAGTAGCATGCATACATTCATGCGTAGGATATGTATGTATAGTCTTTATTCATGCGTAGGATATGTATGTATGGCATACAGGGCTGTGGAGTCGGAGTTGCAACATTTTCAGCGGAGTCGCTTAACAAAATCACAACTCCGACTCCAATAGTAAAACTTTTCGGTATTGTATATGCATGTACAAAACATTCAATTAACCTTATGTCCATAATAAACCTCAAAGAACGTTTCATAAATTTGTCAAAAAAGAAATATTTAACTTATCGCGTTATATTTTTTAAAGAATTCAAGGAACTTTTCAAAAATTTTTTTTTAGAGTTGGAGTTGTGCTCAAAAAATTTCAACAACTGGAATCGGAGTCATTCCTTTTTTTTTTACGACTCCACACCCCTGATAGCATATATCTAGCATAAATAGCATGTCTCTAATAATTATGGCAACTAAAAGCGTGAACAAGAAATGCTATATGAAAAAATGCTAACCAACTTAAATTTTTAAAACTTTCCAGATTTTAAGTTAGAGAATAAAGTCTTATGTCATCATAAAATCTAAATATTTTAAAACAATTGAGCCTATCAAAACAACCACCATTGAGAACATGCTTAATAATAGTTTTCTACTCAAAAATGTTCATTAGAATTATCAGTGAAGAAAAGATCAACAACTTACTTTTTTATTTTCATTTGAGGTAAAAATAAACTTTGATTAAGTCGAAGGAGTTAAAAAGTATGTTCTAGCATGTTCACCTTGTTGAATCTGGTGTAATTCTGGTTCTTTGGTTAATAATCTAATGCTAATAGGTTTATCATGTTTATGACAATCTTTAGAGATACCTGTCTTCTATAAATACCAACATGTACAACAGAATTTCTAATTTTAAATAAGGTTTCTGAATTATCCAGTATTCTGGATCTTAAACATTTTTTAAAATCTTATTTGCTTCATAGGTTATCAGATTGCTAAAAGTTATTTTTTTGTTACAAATACTTTCGAACGGTAATGAATACCCCATATGGGTAATGGATACCAGAACCAATTATTTGACCAACCTTTCGAGAAAAATAAGATTTTTTAGTTTTTTTGTAAGTAAATTAACGATTAAGTTACTAGTAAGCATAGGAATCAAATAGAGGAGTTGTCATCTTTTTATTTCTTCTTTAATTTTTTAGTAATAAATTTAATAATAATAAGGTACCTACAGTTAATCCAAGCAGAGCGTAAAAGTCCTGAAGAAAGTGTTTACTGATTTTAACAGTTCTTCTGAAGATTTCAAACTATGCCCAGTATGATTGCCATTTTGAACTTGTTGTATTTCTAGTTCCTTAATTAAAAATCTTATTTTAATAAGGAGGAGCTCCCGGACCTCCAACATGTACAACAAAACCAAAAAGATCTCATTTCACTTGATAACTCCATTCACTAGCAGAGATAGACCACTACAATAATCTTTTTCAAAATAGTTTTATTACCCTAAGTTAACAGTATTGACATAAAACCTATTTGACTAGTGTGTTCTGTTTGTAGCGTAGTTTTTCTCTTGCATTCTTGATCTTCTGGTTATTTTTTTCTTTTGAAAATTCTACAATCTGAAGGCTTGTGATTTATCTTCAAGTTCAACATGATTATACTTTTATCTTCTTTATAGATGATAGGATTCTGTAGACTTAACAAAAAGAGTGTTTCCTATATTTATATTAACACAAAAAACAAATTTTTCTTTCAGAATACAAGAATAAACTCTTTCAACAATATTTGGATTCTTTGAAGTAGTTAAGAAATATAACTAAGTGATTTAACTAAGAGATTTAAATTCTTTGAAGTAGTTAAGAGATATAACTAAGAAATATAACTAAAAGAACAGTCACTTTTTGTTGTTGTTGCAAGCTTCCAACATTTTAACTTGTGATGACTATTCAACCAGGATATCTCTACAGCTTTACCGGTAGCCCTATCTCTACAGCTTTACCGGTAGCCCTATCTCTACAGCTTTACTGGTAGCCTTATCTCTACAGCTTTACTGGTCCCTATCTTTCTAAAACATCTGTTTTTTTAAATTTCAGTCAAATGAGAATTCATGTTTAAGCTGAATAAGAGTAAATTAAGTCTTTATTCAGTTGAATCAATGAACAAAGTTCATAGATTCAACCAAATTAAGACTTTATTGACCCTTCTTCTCTAAAGTTAGAAAATTTTTTTTTCTTCATTGATACAACAGAAATAGATCTATTTTTTATTTTTTTTAAATCTTGCTCTTTGCTTGATCATTTTGAAACCAACCAAGTTTTTATTTAGTATTTTTATATTACATTAATTTAATTTTATAAATCAATGTTCTTACAAACAGATAAATTTAGACAAATTATTAGACAATGATATAGTTTATTAGGACGAAAATTGTATGAACTATGAGATATTTAGCACCAATTAATTGCAATCTTTAAATTATAAATTTGAATTTTCTAAATTTAAATTATTCATCTTTAATTTAAAAAAAACTTCAACTTTATTAGTAACATTTGGATTCTTTAAAGTTAATTAAAGCAAAGAGGTTTTTTTTTAATTAATTCCTGCAAAGATGATCAATATCAAGAGCAACTATTTGGCAGCATTTTGTGCTAACATTTTTTCAAATGAAATCTTTAAAGTTTATTCATAGGTGAATTAAGAAGAATTATGTTTAAAACAATATCTAGTACCCTGTCCTATCATCTTATTATTTAAATCTTCCTAAATTTTTAAACTAATGGCAACAATTTAACCAAAACCCCTTAAAAGCTTTACTTGATAGTCTTACGTTTTTGTTTAAAATATAGGTTTGACTTGCAGCTTCTACAAATTTCATCTGATGAAAATTAATGACCAAACTGAATCCAGGATCAACAAATTTCTTTTTTAGATAAGCCAATGAACTATTTTAAAGTTAGATTTTGTCACTATCAACAAAACAGAAACAATTTCTTTTTCTCCTAAATAAAGCGTTGCTTTTTGCAGGTTTGTTTTTAAAACTTTTCTGCTACTATGGCATTATTATGTTACCATTATATTGTTTCTATTACATATTTTTATATTATTTTTATTACATATTTTTATTTTATTTTTACTACATATTTTTATATTATCTTTATTACATATTTTTATATTATTTTTATTACATATTTTTGTTATATTACTTTTATTACATCATTACTATTATACTAAATTATTTTTATTTTATAAACCACTATTCTATAAAAATGTCAACAACACTTGATTTGAAACCTGGAACCAAAACACCCTTTGAAAAATGGAAAAACGGCTTATTAGGGAAAATTACTTTTTTTTCAAAAATTGCTTTACCATATATAGATTCATAATTTATAAATTTATTTTAAACTTTATTAAAATATACTTTGGTGCTCAAAAAATACAGCCATGTATAATTTAAAAACCTACTTTTTTTTAAACATTTTACAGTTTTGGAAAAAGAATTTAAAAAATAAAATAAATGCAGTTTTTAAATTGTTCTCAATTATCACATGTTAATGTACTGAAAAAAGTGATTTAAAAAGAAGTAAAAATAACTTTGACTGAAAAGCTCAGAATAGAGATTAAAGCAATTTATAATACTAATATATAAAGCAATTTCTATATCTCATTTATAATTATAAAGCTTGAATAAATATTGGTTACTAACTTTAAAATACTTTTAAATAAACTTTGTAAAAATATCATTTCCTGCCTAGGCCTGTATATGTTTTTTTATTATTCATAATTTCATAAAGTTTGTACAAAAAATTATTATTGTTTGATTTTTGTTTTGAAAGTGTTAAAACTTTTTTCTTTATCAGCTTTAATAATAAACTTTATTAAAAAAAATTAATACCTTCATTAGATGCTGCTTTGACATCACGTCCTATAGGATGCTCAAACGGGCAGGCAGGATCAATGCATCTAAAAATAACACATACATCTATCGCTAAAAAGTAGCTAATAAACTTAGACTTACAAAGTTTCATTTACAAATAAAATGATAAATAAGCACACACATCATATAATCACACATAATCTGTAAAGCATCTAGTGAATGGGAAAGTGTAAGAACAAAATACAGTTAGTTAACAAAGAGTTTTAATCAGGAAAGATAGGCAGAGGACAATCTTAAAGATATGCTTTAGAGTACCAAAATCATAACAAAATGAATATAAACTATGTAGATTATTATTTCTTCTAGACTAAAGGAAAATTAATACTATATAAGAGTGACTGGATGGAAAGTAATACTAAATAATATTTTCTAGGTGAAAAGAATAAATGAGCATGGAACTATATGTAAAAGTTGATTGTATATGGAAACGCAAAAGATCTGAGTTTAAAGGAGTGTATGATATAAACTTAGAGATACTTTAAAAAAAAAATCTGACGAAACTCTTAGAACAAATTAAACTAATTGTCTCTAATACAAGATTAATAGATGGTTTTGTTCAATTGAATTTTGTTTATAGAATCAATCGATAGAACAAATAGAGAAGTAGTATTGCAGTAATTTAGGGGTTAAGATGCACCAATTAAAACAAAAAATAGGCATTTACCTTTTTAATGTGGTAAACCATAAGGAGACAAAACAAGCTGATTAAAGGTTAGTGACAATTATTTATTGCTTGTTTTTGATAGTTGCAAACAATTTATTTGTTTTTGATAATTGCAAACAAATTAATAAAATCTAGACAACTATATTTAATTCAAAAATAAACAAAAAAAATATTATAAGTGCATCAGAAATGAGTTGAACTAAACTTACAAAGAAATTACAACTAGAAAAATCACATTTGTATTTAGTTGAGTTATGTTTAATGATTCACCCAGACTTTTGATTAAAAGTTTTAAAAACTAATAAAATTGTTGTTAATAACAGTTGGAATAAACAATTATACACACACATATACAATAGTCTTATCTGCTGTAAGACTAACATGTGTTAACTAAATATATGCTTTTAACATCTATTTATGTTTTCAAACAATGTTTTCAAACAAATAAAAATATATAAAATAATTCTTTATTTTTGGCTATATTAAATAGTTACATATAATTATGTATTTATACAACAAAAATAGATTCCATAACAAATAAAATAAAAAAATTACAAAAGAACTTTTTTTTTTTAAGAAAACAAGCTCTTTTTTATAAAACCTATATTTTTTCAAGATTCTTTTTTTTATAAGTCAAACTTTCAAACAAATATATATATATATATATTTATACTTAAATGCAATATGAGGATGAACTCAAACTGCATAAAAGATCTTTTATGAGCATAAAAGACCATGATTCATCAATCAATAAAGGAACATGATTCACTAATCAATAATGATCTTTATATTTATGATCATCTTGATCATAACTTATCAAAATAGAGATTAAAAAAATACATTTCTAGTGTTAATGAAAGCAAGCAGAGACTTGAGCAAATAAAAGCAGAAACTTAACAAATAAATTCTTTTAACTAGATATTTTATCAAAATCATAAATAAAAACAAATTATATTAATAAACTATAGTAACTTTAATACATAAAAACTTATGATAAAAATCATTACATAAATAAACAAATTTTTCAAAAAATTTTTTTATTAAAAATAAATATAACTAAAAATAACTAATAATTATTTTTTAGATTGTGACAATTAAAAAACAATATGTAAAATAGCACAATACAGATATTTAAACAAAATCAGGAAACAAGAATTAAAAATTAGATACAAAAGAGTCAAGTGACATAAAAAAACCTGATATAATTTATGTTCTGACTTATAATTTATGTATATGTATACATAAATTAACATTGGGCCATTTTTAAATTTTATTGTTTTAATACTTGAACATTTGTGATTATAAATTTTATAAAAACTATAATTATTAAAGCTATTTGAAACTAATTTAAAACATGGTTAAAAAAGTAATTAACAAAAAAATAATAAGATATAACAAATATTTTAAAATATAACAATGACCTGTTTGAAAGGAGAAAGATTTGAAAAAAAAAAACTATTTTTATAACTTTGATTAAAAACTTTTATAAACTTTTTTTTTATAAACAAATAACTTTTGAAACAAGAAAACATTTTTTACTATAAAATATTTTTATCAATAAAATAAGATTCTTGTCAAGCAATAAATTTAAAACAACTTACTTTAAAGATGCACACATCGGATGTTCAAATTTGCATTCTTTGCCCATTTTGCAACGCGGAAAAAATTTACATTTTGCTCCCTTGTATTCATTAGCTGGACGAATAATAATGCCTGAAGTGCTATTACCACCTGGGCGTGTTAATTCATTTTTATTTCCACCTTTACTTTGGTTATCACCAATATTGGTGTCAGCTGATTGATTTTCTTGATTTAGGAGCTTTGTCTGATTTGAGTTTTCTTCAACATTAGGCATATTTTTATTATCATTTGAAGACATCTGTTTATAACTAGGAGGAAACCTTCCCTGATCTTCTCGCTTTTTCTCATTAATTGGTGGTTTTTCTTCAAATTTATTTCCTGATCCTTGAGACGGCATGCAATTCTCTGAATATTTATCATTACTAATAGAACCTTGACAATTAATAGATTTTTGATTATTACCTTGATTATTTGATTTTTGATTAACTTGATTAGGAGTTACTCTTCCATAATTATCTGATTTTGAATGGTCAACCATTAGATTTTGATTACCAAATGTTTGTCCTTGATTTCCAGATATTTGTCGGTTATCTTTATTTTGAATTTGATTGTTTGATTGTCCTTGATTACTTGGTAACAATTTTTGATCATTGTTTAATTGAGTATTCATTGTCTGTCCTTGATTACCTGAAAGTTTTTGATTACTATTCACTTGATTATTCAACATTTGTCCTTGATTACCAGGTAACAACTTTTGATTATTTGGTAATAAATTATTTGATGGTTGTCCTTGGTTACCAGGTAAAAATTTTTGATTAGTTTGTAGTTGATTATTGAATAGTTGTCCTTGATTACCAGGTAACATTTTTTGATTATGTAATTGATTATCCAATGGCTGCCCTTGATTACCTGGTAGGAATTTTTGATTATTTGGTACTTGACTATTCAGAGGTTGTCCTTGGTTACCAGATAACATTTTTTGATTATTTTGTACCTGATTATATAATGATTGTCCTTGATTACTAGTTAACACTTTTTGGTTATTTTGTAATTGATTATTCAATGGTTCTTGATTACCAGGCAAAAAATTTTGGTTATTTTGTATACGATTATTTGGTCCTTGATTACCAGGTAATAATTGTTGATTACTATGCACTTGACTATTTAAAGAATGTCCTTGATTACCAGGCAAGAATTTTTGATTACTCTGAAATTGATTATTATATGATTGTCCTTGATTACCAGGCTTTGGAATGTTATGCATTTGATTATTTGATTGGCCATGATTAAATGGTGCTTGATTATCAACTCCTTGATTATTAAATTGTTGTCCCTGATTAACTGCTGGTGATTTTTGATTATCAGGTAAATGTTTTTGGTTATTAGACATCGGTGACCAATTATGGGTAATTTGCTGGTGATTACCAGGAACTTCTCCTTTATTACCTGAAAAATTCATCTGGTTATTATGCATTGGTCTTGGATTACCGGACATATGACCTTGATTATCTTGTAACTGTCTTGAAAGCCAAGGACTTCTAGGAGTCCCTGGTCTTTGTCCCAAATCAGGAGTCATTTGTCCTTGATTTTGAAATAATTGATTTCCAGATACTTGCTTTTGAGTTTCAAATGATCCCTGAAATTGACCTGGATTTTCAAATCGATTATTTTGAGCATTTAGATTTTGATGATTTGCATTAGAGTTAAATAACTGATTTTGATTTTTGAAAGTTCCCTCATTTACTGAAAGATTACCAGAATTTGAAAAATGACCAGAATTTCTATGAACTTGCTCATGACTATTATTAAATTGCATATTTTCGTTTTGCTTTTCTAAGAACTGGTTATGATTTTCACCGAACCTATTTTGATTTTCAGGTAGCTTTGGTTGATTAACTAAATGAGGAGGGTAACCAGACATTCCCTGATTTCCAGTTGTGTCTCTGAAATTGGGGGGTGGTTGCCCATAAGGTCCTGGAGGCTGTCCATAAGGTCCGGGAGGTTGTCCATATGTTCTAGGAGGCTGTCCATAAGTTCCAGGAGGCTGACCATAAGCTCCAGGAGGTTGTCCATAAGCTCCAGGAGGTTGCCCATAAGCTCCTGGGGGATGGTTACGAGGTTCAGGATGTTGTCCATAGGGTTCATTGGGCTGTCCAAAATTCTCGGGTGCCTGTCCAAAAGGTCCAGAATGTTGAGGCTGATTTCCAAGCATTTTACTCTGATCACTTGTTAAATGCCCCTGATTTGAAACAGGCTTTTGAGACTGATTTTTGTAATCATATACTTTATTAACTGATTCATTTGGAGGATTGTTAAATCCTGGTCTTTTATTCTCATAAATTTGTTGTTGCATTAAAGGAGGTATGTTTTGTTGAAGTATGTTTTGTTGAGGTATGCTTTGCTGAGGTATGCTTTGCTGAGGTATGCTTTGTTGAGGTATGTTTTGTTGAGATGTGTTTTGTTGAGGTATGTTTTGTTGAGGTATGCTTTGTTGAGGTATGCTTTGCTGAAGTATGTTTTGTTGAGGTATGTTTTGTTGAGGTATGCTTTGTTGAGTTATGCTTTGTTGAGTTATGCTTTGTTGAGGTTTGTTTCGTTGAGATGTGTTTTGTTGAATATGTGAATTTGGTAGAAGAGGTGTATTTTGCTTAGGAGGTATGCTTTGTTTTGGAGTTAAGTTATGTTGAGGTAAGTTTTTTTGAAGAGGCATACTTTGTGGAGAAGCTTGCACAAAACTTGACATACTTTGTGGAGAAGCTTGCACAAAACCTGACATACTTTGATTTGTGTTTGTGGAGGCTAAAGAGTGTAAAAAATATTTATTTTATGATTTAGTTAAAAATAATTTAGGATTTGTATGACTTATTCAGGTTTAATTCAAGTATTTTATTATACACCTTTAAAATTATCACCTTTATTTGCATCTATAACAGCTTGATGAAAAGTAGCTCCTGTGACTGACCCTTGAGAACTATTGATTTCTTTTGATAACTCTGTAAATAAAAATAAATAAAGATACAAAAAAATAAATAAATAAAGCTAAAACTAAAAATGATTGTAAACTAAAAGCATAAAATATGAAAGAAACCAAAATAATAAAGAAACCAAGGTGATAAAGTAACCAAATTCATCAAGACAAAAAAGCAATATAGATAAAGCATACCAGATGGACATCCATTAAACTTTATTTATCTAACTAAGAAAATAAATTAGTTTGCACCCCTAACCCATATGTTATTAAGGTAACTAAGAAAATAAAGCATTAGAGATGCATTAATAAAAAAATGTTTTTATACTAATAAAAATTAACACGAGGTAGTGAAAAGTTTTATGTGATCTGTTTGGCCAACAAAGTTAGATCAAATGCATTTAAAAAAATAGAAACTATTAATCACAGAAAACAGTATTTCTTTAGATAATAGAAAAATGAAATGTAAAGTAATAAACTTTATTTAAAAGATGGTCTTTTAAGTAAAGATCTAATCTCATAAAAGAAACACAAGACTAAGCAAGAAGCTAACTCTTTGAAAAAAGTTCAAAGAATAAAAAATATAATACGTTTGTAAATGTAACCATTAATACTTACGATCACTTCTGTTATTATTTTTTTTCTCTTGCTGTGCTTTCCGCAAACTAATTTTTTTTTGTAGTTCAGCATATTGCTGTTTCAATTGAGTTTGTTGTTCTTCAATTATTTTTTGATATTGTTTCTGGTAATCTATATACTGTTTTTGATCAGGATGGTTTTGATGCTGTTTCTGCCATTTCACAAAATCAAGATGCCATTTCTGATATTCAGCTTGATAAGTTTTAATTTGAGTTTCTAATGTTTCTAGTTGTTTTGTAAGAGAGATCAAACTTTCTTGGTCCTCTTCGGGTGGTGCTGGCGATTTAGATTCTGGATGATCAGGAGGAGGTGGTGCTTTGATAGAACTGGGTGGGTTTTGAGGAGGTGGAGGTTCATTTGGTAGAGGAGGATTTTGAGATGGAGGTGGGGGAACAGTCGGTGCTGATACAGTGTTTGTTGTTGGCTGTACCCATTGCTTATTACTAGTATTTTGTTCAGTAGATACAACATTTTGTTGCTGTACATTAGTTTGATATGAGCTATTTTGCATCCACTGATTTTGGCTTGCGCTCCATGCATTATTTAAACTACTTTGAGCGTCATTTTTTATGTTACTTGTATTAGAAGCTTGTGTGTTAGTTGGTTGAAATAAATTAAGTTGCTGAGGCAAAGGTTGGTATCCTTGAAAGTCTTGAACTTGTGGTGGTTGATATTGTGCAGAACTTTGATCCCATGATTGTGGTTGTGCTACCCATTGATTGGTAAGGGGATTCCACTGTTGTGCTTGGGGAAATGGCTGCAATGTCGTAGCTGGGTTGAAGGGATTAACTGTTGGTTGAACCCATGGCTAAAAAAAAAACTTATTTAAATTATTTTTAATTAAAATAATTCAGCAACCTAAAAGTTAAGTTAAATTTATTTTTTAATAAATAATAAATTAAAAAATTATAATAAAGTTAAAACTAATGAAGCTACAATGGAACGATAAACAATAAATAAAAACTAATGCGGTAGTAGTGTAGTGGTAAGAGCGCTCCCTTTGTAAGCAAGAGGTTCGGAGTTTGACTCCCACCATGTCCCTAAAAGTACAGCGCTCAACTCAATTTCTCCGCACAGCGGCCTTGCTTGTCAAGGTTTGTGTTTCAGAGTTAAAGAGTTGAGAGAGGGTTGTACCACGATTTACAACAAACAAACAAAATAAAAAAATAAAAAAAATAAAAGTAAAAAAATAAATAAAAAAAATGAGTAGCCTCCTCGACTGTAATGGCCCCCTCGGGCCTTGGGGAGGTGAATAATAATTTTAAAAAATAAAAAAAAAATTTAATTTTTTTATTTATTTGTAAAAATTGCAGACAAAAATTTGACAAATTGTTAGAATTAAAATATTTTATTTTAAAAAAAAAGTATTAATACAGATTTAAAAAATACTACATTCTGATAGAATATGGCAATTTTTAATAACAGATTAACTAAATGATCTTATATGTATGTATAGATCATACAGGTATATGAATTTATAAACTTATAAAATCGTAAAAAATGTTTACATTTGTTGCAATTATTACATTAGATAAAACTTAAAAAGTAAGATCATTAAAACTTAGACTTTTTGGGACAAATCTCTTTTTGTTAACAATTAATTTTGGTTAACAGCATAATTAAAATTTACAAAATTTTGAACATTTTTTTCTTCCAAATGATTGTGAAAAGACTTTGAAAATTTAAATTTTTTAAATTTAAATTTTGAAAATTTTAGGTTTGGGATTGTTTTAAAAATAAAGTTCAATTTTTTTTAGTTCTTTGTAAAAAAAACAATTTTCAGTTTGCCCATATTTCATTTCACCCACCTTTTAAAAGATCAATATATACTTGGCCTGATTGTTATAAATTAAACTATAATTTCTAAATGCTATTGTCAATCTCATATTTTCAGTCTTATTACATTTCTAAATAGGTATAATATACTAGCAGGAGGGAAAGCAAAGTAAAATTTTATATTTTTTACAGAACCATCTTTGTAGTAAATTAATTTTTAATCAAATACTGTGTAATTATAGAATTCAAAGTTAACCAATCACATTCTACTGTTAAAAAACTATCCAATTAAATTTTCAAAATGTCATAAGCAGTCAAAGTATTTTAAATAAACAATAAAAGTTCTGAAAATTTAATAAACAATATTTATTGATTTAGAGTTAGTTTGTAGTTATTTTTTATGTTGTACGTTTTTGAATAATAAAATATGTAGATTAGAACTGCTAGCATTTTTGCCGGATTTACAAACAGATATTTTATATTTTTATATTTATACTACAACACAAAATGTGTAATATATTTATACTACAACACAAAGTATACTACAATACAAAATGAAATTCTGGGACTTAATAAGGACTTAATAGCGAAGAGTCTCAATCTTTGATATTTATTGTAGTATAACTACCTTGGGATTAATTATGCTGCAAAGACTGAAACATAATTAAAAACCATTTTTGGCTTTGCTCAAGTATAAAAAGGGCTTCATCTAATAGAAGAAAAGAAGAGTCATGCCATTATAGCATTTACAACATCGCATATAGCAAGAGTTCCTCTTACAAAAATGCTTTTTTTGCCTTTACACTTTGTTAGGCGAGTTTATATTATTTTTTAATATTTAAATTAGTTTAAAGATACCCTTTAAGCAGCAAGATAAAAGAAGTAACTAATTTTATAAAAAATACTTAAACGATAAAATTTCAATTGTAAAGTAAAAAAGTTTGTACAAAAAAATCAAATGACAATTTCGTCCAATATAAGCACTATTTATAAATAAAACAAATTCAGATAAAATTAAAAACAAACAAAATTTGGTTTTTATTTAAATTATATTTTAAAATATTACTAAACATTTTTAAATAATTTATTTGATAATATTTTTGATAAAAAAAAGTTTTTGTTTATTAAAAAAATAAAAATAAAAAAAAAGCTTATTATTACCTCAATTTTTTTTTCATTTTTTTTTTTTTTTTTCTAAAAATTATATTTCTTTTAAAGATGTTTTAAGACTCTACATTAAACTTTTTAACATACATTTATAAGGCAAATAAGTGAATAAAAAGTTATTTAATCCATTTAAGCTATTTAATCCATTTAAGCTTAAATAGCTTAAATGGATTAAATAGCTTTAAAACTTTAATCTCTTCTAAATACTATGCGAAACATTTTAAATTAAAACAAGTTAAATTAAAAGGCATTAATTTTATGCTTTTGATTTTTCTGGTTTATGCTTTATTTATTTTATCATTCATTAAAACTTAGTTTTTTTAGTTTAGTTTTGTATTTTTTTTTATTTTTTTTTGTTTATTTCTAGTATTAGTTGATGGTTTAATTTTAATTTTCTCTTTAAATTTGGTTTTTTCATGGTATTTTCTTAACGCACAAATTATTAAAGCAGGCTAAAAACTGTGGCTGAGTTGTCATAATAAAATTTATTGTTTGCGTGGTCTTGTGTTAGTTTAATGTGAACTTGATTTCTTTTTTTTTTTAATGTATTAAGCTTTTTTTAATTAAAAAAAAAGGCCTGCATGGGTATAAAATTTACAGAAGAGATAGATGTGATGGTCAAAAAGGAGGCTGAGTAAAAAGTTCAATTGATTTATACGAGCTTAAAAATGTTGTCTTAAATTAAAATAGTTGACAGGATATTGAAATTGAAAAATTTGGTGGATGCAGTAGGAATGTCACAAAATAGAGATGCATAACTGTTTTTTTATTTTATTTTACTAGAAACTATTTTTTTGTAAAAGTTCAAGGGTTTATATTTCTTTTATATTTCAGTTTATGGTTTATTTTAATTAAAGCTTACATTTTTAAAACGCTCTACTTTTCAAAACTTCAAAAAGAGCCATGAATAAGTTTTTAAAACAAAATATTATATGCGAAGTCATGAAGGCAGGTGACTGCACAAAAGGGTGACTTAACAAAGCTTGTAATGTATTAAGCATTTTTTAATTAAAAAAAAAGGTCTGCATGGGTATAAAACTTTCACAATAGATAGATGTGATGGTCAAAAAGAAGGCTGTGTAAAAAGTTCAATTGATTTATACGAGCTTAAAAATGTTGTTTTAAAGTAAAATTGAACAAGCCTGGGTGTTTTGTGGTAAAGTTAAATATTGAGTTAGTAAAAAGTTAATTGAAAAATTAACTTTTAATTAAAAAATAAAAAACTAAAAAATATTTAATTGAAATTTTGTTGATTTTTTATTATAGAAGATTTTAGTTTTCCTTAAGTTAATCCTTTAAAACAAAGTGAACTTTATAACCTCTAATTCTTATAAATTTGTTTACAAAAAGGCAAAATATGATAAAATTTATCTTATTTTAAATATTTACAGAATATGTATAATAAACTGATTTTTTACTCTAGCATAGCTAGCAATTTATTTATTCCTACTGTTAATATTTGGCAAATTAAAAGTACTGAAATGCCTCAGCTAATTAAAGAACTGAAATCCCTAATTAGAAAAAAATACAGAAATTAAGAAAAAAAATTAGAAAAAAAGTATGATATACCAAAACTGTGCTTAAAAATAAAAAGATGCTAATATGACTAAAGAATATATAACATTTTGTCAAATAGCAAGATGTCAAGTAAAAAATTTTAAATTACTTATAAACAAGACTTAGTTAAAAAAACAAAGAAATATCTGAAATTACTCTACAAATATATTAGAATCATTGTAAATGATTCAATAAAAGTCTTTCAAATTCAATAAAATGAGGAGATGATGACAGCGTTTCATAGGATAAGCTTAAAATTGCTTATACTTTAAATGTTTTCATGATGTATGCATGATACTAGAAGGTGTTATTCTAAATAAAATTCAAACTCACTTTTACAAAAACAAATTGCTAACAGAACATCAACATGGATTCATTAAAAAAAATTATTCACAACAAATCCAGGGGTGAATGCCATGATTATCCAGCAAAAGACAACTCATTTTTGCATAGAGTGACTGAAATTTAGAAAAAAAATTTATTAGCCTGGCAGGGCGACCAGAAAACTTACAATATAGTGTTTAATACCACTAATTTTTTTTAAAAGATTTTAGAAAATTTTTAAAAGATTTTAGAAAAGAAAAGCTTTATAAAGCATTCAGACTAATTGATTATGTTGGATATTATAATTTTTATTAAATTTAAAAAAATAAGAAGCCCAATTGCATGCACGTATATCAAAATGTTTTGAATTTCAATCATGTTTTTTAAAATGTTGTATTTTGAAGCAAGTTTTCTTTTTAATCTAAAATGTGTTACAAATTCACATTGACTTTCAATTCAAAACAGGTATGTAACATTTTTTTTAAACGCTATAATCACATTTTGAATAACCTGAATAGACATCATAAATAATGTTTACCCTTTAGTTTGTTAAAAATGGTAAAATAAATTTTTTAATATAAACTTTGCCAAACAAAAGATTGAACATTATTAATGATGTAAGTGGAAAAGTAAAAAAGAAGTGTTTTCTCTTAACACTTTTAGTCCCAAACAAAATACAGTAAAATTATTGTAAGCAGGCCTTGTTTTAAGCGTTAAGCGATTTATAAACACGTTAAGCAATTTTAAGCAGTAAGCAATTTCGGTTAAGCTTTTTTTTAAATACTATTATTTTAAAAATACTATATAAAAAAAAGATTGCTCAACCAAAATCTCTTACTGCTTAAAATCGCTAAATGGGTACATATATCACTCTACACTTAACACTTAAAACAAGGCCTGGTAAGTGAAATGTTTTTATCGATTTAAAAGCTATAAAATAAAAAAATATTTGTCAGAATTTCACAAATAAAACCTTGTTTTGTT